TTCCCGCCATATTCCTCCACGTCCCTCTGTCTATCAAATGGAAAGGTAGCTCTCCTCGTAAAACCAGAAAAAACCTCAAAGAGAAGGTTCTAGTTTTGAGTATTTTTTTCAATTTAAAATCTTAAATATTTGTTGTCCGAAACCACTCGTGTTAGAATCGACTAAAAAAAAGAAAAAGAAACAAACTTTTCAATAGAAAACAGAACTTAACGAAGGAAATCGGAAGAAAAAAAACTTACGAACTGAGTTGGAAGAGAAGAAAAGAGTATAGAGGAAGAGAATAAAGTTACGAACTGAGTTAGAAGAGAAGAAAAGAGTAAAAGAAAACTTTACACTCATTTTGCTTACTCTTTGTTTGATGGAAAGTGGAGAAAGGTGAAAAAATACGAAGAAAGACAGAGAAAAATGAAAAAAAAAGAAGTGAAAAGAGATAAAAGAAAGTGAAAAATAAAAAATTTCAAAATATAAAATGATTCAACATTAAAAAGATGTTAAAGCAATTTATCATAATGATAAAATTAGTGATTAAACTTTTTTTTTAATAGGAGAGAGATAGTAGAACAGTAGTAAATATTCACGCGGTCTTCACGTTCTGATGTTTCTGGATAAACCCGCAAGCTAAGTTACTAATAAATTATTCTCAGTCTTAAATTCTGATAAACAATACCATGATTATGCCAGTTCCGTCCTTTTCATGAAAGACTCTGACGAAGTAAAATAAACGGTCTTGTCCAGATCAATTAGCTTTGTAACGGATATACTCCACTTTCAAATTAAAACATTTTCCACACTCTGTCATACATAAAGATGACTTTGAAATTATATCTATCTTTATTCTCAACATAAAATAAAGAGCCTTTCTACGAAGAAAAAACAGCACTTTGTCTCCTCATGTTTTCCCATCTTTATACTTTCCAATTCCATTCCCAAGACTTTGAAATTTAAAGATATACTTTCTAAGATATTTCTGTTCGATTTTACTGTACTAATACTATCCTATGTTCCTATTAAAACATAATTCTACCTGCAATAGTGTTTATCATATCTCTCCCACAAAACTATTTTTGGTTTATTATTTTTAAATTACCCTATTATTTTAGTATTACGTCTCTCTTAATATTTTTTATTTTTTAAAATTAAAAAAGTAAAAAAAATATATATCTATTTTCTATATAGAAATGTTATTTAAAAAATATGCATCCAAATTAAATATTTACTTTGTTTGATTAGGTTTTGATATTATGTTTAGAAGAAAAAAGATAAAAACGCCATAAAGAATATAGAAACGTCACCATCCATTTATCTGAAAATGACATGTTGCTCATCACTTGAGGGTAATCCTTTCAAAAGCCATCCAATCTATTTTTTCATAATATGAAAACTTAAAAGAAGTAGTAGATATTTATTTATATTATCTCATATCACTTAATAAATATTTATGATTGAGAATAAGTTAAAAAAAATAGTACCCTGATTTTAACATGATAAATTATTTGAACAAAATATATAACAAATTTTAATTATTTTAAAAATATATATTTACAAAATTGAAAGTTATAAGTTCTTTTATATATTAATGGATTTTTTTAAGACAATAATTAATCAAAAATACAATAATTAAATCTAGTCCAATATAAAGGATTTACACTATCTTCAATCAAAAACATATGTTTTGGTGTTTTGTGATATTTACACTCAAACTAAAATTTTTAAGAATCTTTTTTGGATTTTTACATTAATACAATTTAATGGAGGACACGTTTATCTAAACTTTTTATTAAGAAATACAGGGTCATATGAAATCATATTGTACTTCTGATCTATCTGGGTGATTGGCTTCGGACTGTGCCACCTCACCGCTCGTTGGTCTCCAATACGACTCATCTTCTATCCTGCTTCCGTTCCCTACCTTTTCACCTCCTGGAATTGTTCAACATCCCTTGCGATCTGCATCGCCACCTGCGGGTCATGCGGTCGGACTTGATTCCATATGTCCTCTTGCAATCCTGCCAGAAAATATCCTAATAGATGCTCGTCTGGCACCTTCTTCGTTCGACCCACCAATTTCTTGAAGACTTGTACATACTCTTCTACCGTCCTCGTCTTTTTCGATGCCGCCAAACGTTCAACAATGATTCCAAACCTTATCACTGGGCTTCCTTCAAACCATCCCATGAATTGGTCATCAAAATTATTTATTAACTCTAATACAAATGAGTTTTTCAAAACAGAATTTATTCAACATCATTTTTATCAAGATATATAGTGAATTTTCATTCTTATTTATTGTTTGACTTTCTTATTTTTATTTAATGTTTAACTTATGACTCACACTTATATTTTCAATATATATATATATATATATATATATATATATATTTATTTATTTATTTATAAATCTAAATTAGTTATTGAAGGACATATATATATATATATATATTTATACTAAAATAAATAAATAATACCTTTATGATTATTGTGTTGTTATTAGTATTGGGTGAAGTTTTGTAAAATAATTAAAAGATAAATTTTATAATTGATTTGAATAAAGGTACTAATTAATATAATACAAATAATTTTTTCCTTTCAAATTGGCATAGTTAGAATGGAAAAATAAAATGCAGTTCTTAACTTAAGTCATGAGAGACTTTATAAAATTATTGAACCAAAATTCCTACATAAATAGTGTTTTCTTTAAGAAGATTCTTATTATAGGTAGCAGCTATTTTCGTATGAAATAGAGTAGTTGATTTAGACTACCTAATTATCCTCAAGTAGAAATTAACTTTGTTTCAATTCAATCAATCAATCAATAAAGTCATTCGGTAGGTAACTAATTATCCTACAGTTAATTTCAAATCTAACGCATTAAAATTAACATACACTTTTTTTATTCATTCATTTTAATTTTTATATTGATTTTTTAAGTGAATAACTTTTCAATTACGCGAAGAGACTTACTAAAAGTCGTAATACGTAATAAATGAAAAAACAAGTTCAGACTATACTGTATCAATTGTGTCCTATTAGATTGAGTTTTACGATGTCTCAATCAAGTGTAGACATATACAGAGTCAAGAAAACGTGGATTGACAATAAATCATTGAGTGATTCACGTCACCTCACATATTTCACTCTGCACATCTTAATTTACAGTTTTATCCTTCATTTAATAATATATGAAAAATTACAATAATAATTTAATAAATAATATTTAATTACATAAGTAATTTAATAAAAATTACAAATTCAAAAACAAATAAAATAAAATAAAACAAAAAAATTGACATAATAAATAATATATAAAAAACTTAAAATTGTAAAAAAAAACAAATTCAAAAATAATTAACAAACAAATCAAAACATACTCTAAACCATATCAAATATTATTTAATATAAAAACATAACATATAAATCAAAATTACAAAACATATAGATATAAAATATTAAAACAAAAATATACTAAATATTATATGTTAACACAAAGAAAAAAGAAAGAAATACTAAACGCATATCCAATTGAGTAAAAGTAAAATGAATAAAAAAACTTAAATCGTATATTCAACTGCAGCTAAGCACCTCCAATTGTGGCGACCAACAACCGTACTTCCAAGTGTAGTTTTGCGGCTCCCATTACTCGCGCTCCCAACTGCATACTCTCTCATTCGCACTTCCAAGTGCGATAGGACCTTAACCGCAGTTCCAACTATGGTTAAGGCTCCGTCCAGTGTGAGAAGAAGAATTGCCCTTGCTGCTACAACTTACCACGACACCAACAACACAAAGTCACCAAACCAGGGAGGAGGGGAGGAGGGAACAACCACTCAACAACTGAGAATGGTAAAAAAATGAGAGAGGAGGGAGGAGGGGAAGAGCACCAGAAGAGAGGAGAAAAAAAGAGATGTACACTTTTAAATATGAAATGTGACAAAGAAGAGGAAAGGAGGAGAAAGGAGGTGTAGGGTTTTGCAAATCTAAGATGCCGCAAAAGAGGAAGGGCGGATGTGATAAAACTTAAACTTACTTGAATTTATGATAAAAAAAATACATTTTTCTTACAAAATGTGGCTTCAAAAATTTTTATTGTAAGTGTATTTTGTTGTTTGATCTTTATAGTTACATAATATTAAACTAGTATGATTTTAAAAAGTAGATACTCAATTATGAATTTATAGTTGTTCTTTATTCAATATAAGTCATGGCCAATAAATTGGAAAAATATCTTTTCGACTATCTATTAATTCAACGACATGTGTGAACAATTTCCGGATAATATATTTGTATAATAGTTAAAATGTTATAACATTAATGATATTGACTTCTTATATTTGTATATAGGTTGGAATCTCTTATTTCTTTTAATATAATATTGTTTTTGTTTGATAAAAAAATTCTAATTAAGTTCTCTAAAATATAAATATAAAAATAATAATACAAGATTGTAACGCTTTTAATATTTTATCTGGACTATATATACAATAAGCCAAAACTACACAAATTAGTCTTAAAAGTTTTTTATCAGTCCTCCAATCTCCAAGTAAAGTCCACAACACATCATAATAAACATGACATTATCACTCTACGTTATATTAAGATACACTTTTATCTTTTTAATACAAAATGAAAGTGTAAATAAAACAAAGAATTAGAAGGAGTAGTGTTTATTTCGGTATCTAATATTTTTATATTATACAAGAGTAGAATTTAAAAATGGTTTAAATACAATTTTTCTCTTTAATCCTTTAACAACATTATGATAAGAGTTTAAAAAATAATCCAGATATAATAAATAATTAACCAAATGATAGTACCTGAACAGCATATGTGCCCTTATAAATACTGCCATGGATTGTATTCCTTCCCATCACCAACACACATATTTTCCAATTATGGATGCCTCTGTCTCTGTTAAATTGAAATTCCTTTTACTTTGTTCACTATTTACAACGATTTCTGGTTCTGTCATGTCCAATCCCAAGATTCATTGCAACAAAAAAGACATGGACACACTCCTGCTCTTCAAACAAGGACTCACAGATCCTTCAGGCATGCTCTCCTCATGGATCTCAAACTTAGATTGTTGTCAATGGACTGGAGTCAAATGTGACAATATCACTGGTAAAGTTACGAATCTTCATCTCCCCTGTCACACAAATCACCCTAAAGTTGTTGACTTCTTAGACAAGGACGACAAATCACATTGCCTAACAGGAACACTCAGCTTGTCTCTGTTGGAACTTCAGTCTTTGAGTTACTTGAATTTGAGCAACAATAACTTCAAGTTCATGCAATATACCTCAATGGTAACTCCACCAATAGGTAACCTTTCTCGTCTGTGTGGAAACTCCACCAATCTCCGGTATCTAGATTTATCACAAAATTATGATCTTTTGGTCGATAATCTCCATTGGATTTCCCATCTTACCTCACTGCAATATCTTAACCTTGGTGGTGTTTATCTTCACAAGGACATTGACTGGCTTCAACCAGTGACCATGCTCCCTTTACTTAAAGAGTTACACTTGAAGTGTTGTGAACTTGAAAACATCTATCCATATCTTCAACATGCCAATTTCACTTCACTTCAAGTTCTAAATCTTGCTGACAACCGTTTTATGTTTGAGTTGCCTAATTGGTTATTCAATCTTAGCTGTGAAATCTCTCGTATTGATCTCCGTCAAAATCAGATACATAGCCAACTACCAAAAACACTACCAAATTTTAAAAGTCTCAAGTCCTTGGTTTTGTGTGGTAATATTCTCAAAGGACCCATTCCAAGTTGGCTAGGACAACTTGAACAACTGCAAGAACTCGATCTTTCTCACAATCTTTTTTCTGGTCCAATCCCTACAAGTTTAGGAAATTTGTCATCGTTGATCAAATTGATGCTCGAGTCAAATGATTTGAATGGAAACCTTCCAGTGGAGCTCGGACAACTCTTCAAATTAGAAACCCTTAGAGTTTCAAATAATCCCTTAACTGGAATTGTGTCTGAAAAAAGTTTACGTTCTTTAAGAAATTTAAAGAACTTTTCCTTGAGTTCACCCTTCCTGATCTTTGACTTTGATGCCAAGTGGGTCCCTCCTTTTCAACTTCTAAATGTTGAATTGGGTTATTTGAGAGACAAACTTCCTGCATGGCTATTCACACAAAGCTCTCTGAAATATCTGACTATCAGAGACTCAACCGCTTCATTTGAACCTCTGGACATGTTTTGGAACTTCACTACTCAACTCGAATATATCTCTTTGGAAAACAACACGATCAATGGGGACATGTCAAAGGTGTTTCTAAGTTCAAAAGTGGTTTGGTTAGTGGCCAATAATTTAAGAGGTGGCATGCCGCGTATATCACCAGAAGTGGTTGTTTTACACTTACGTAATAACTCATTGTCAGGATCCATTTCTCCTCTTTTGTGTCACAATATGAGACACGAAAGCAATTTAGTGTACTTGGACATGAGTTATAACAATTTATCAGGAGAACTCACAGATTGTTGGAATAATTGGAAGTCATTGGTTCTTATCAATCTAAGATTCAACAACCTCACAGGCGAGATTCCTCGCTCAATGGGTTCCTTGTCTAACCTTCGTTTTCTGTATCTGAAAAGTAACAAGTTCTTCGGAAAGGTGCCCTTTTCACTGAGAAACTGCAAGAATCTTCGCATACTCGATCTATGCCGCAATAATCTTTCTGGGATCATACCAACTTGGTTGGGGCAAAAAGTTGAAGGTCTTGAATTGAGATCCAATCAATTCAATGGCAATATTCCCACGCAGCTATGCCAACTTCGTTCTTTAATGATAATAAATTTGGCGAGTAATAAATTATCAGGACCAATACCCAATTGTCTCCAAAACATCACAGCTATGGATTTTAGTAATTCTGTAACTCGTACATTCAAATTTACCCTTAATTACCCAGGTTTATCTGTACAGATTTCGTGTAGCATTCAGCTGCTTATAAAGGGAAACGAGTTACCATATTTTGATGTGATGAATGCCATTGATCTTTCAAGCAACAACTTGTCTGGAAGTGTGCCTCTGGGGATATATATGCTAACTGGATTACAGTCCTTGAATTTGTCCCATAATCAATTGATTGGAACGCTACCAAATGAGATTGGCAATTTACAACAGTTGGAGTCCATTGATCTTTCATCAAATAATTTATCGGGAGAAATTCCTCAGTCCATGTCTGCTTTGCATTTTCTTGGGGTCTTGAATCTATCATTCAACAATTTTATGGGCAAAATCCCAGCAGGGACGCAACTTGGTTCCACAAATCTTAGCTATATCCACAATCCTGACCTATGTGGACCTCCACTTACTAAGATATGTCCTCCAGATGAATATCCCAACAACAAAAAATCTATGAGAGGAGATGATAGTGATGATGACAAATTTCAGGTGCATTCATGGTTCGACATGGGACTAGGAATGGGATTTGCCGCAGGATTTTGGGGACTATTGGGCACCGTTTTCTTCAACAGAAAATGCAGACGTGCTTATTTTAAATTCCTTAACAGAATTTCTGACTTTGTCATCCAAAAGATAAACTCCATTACTGAAATGTAGGAAACTGCCACTGTGGTACGTGAAGAGACATTTTTCTTTCAGTTTTAAATTTAGTCACGTCAATATGCATATATTTTTTTAAAGATCGATATATTATTCACTATCTAGAAAGTAATTAGACTTACTCTCTTTGATCCAATACATGCAACTATGCATGCATACACAAATACATGGACACATTTTCAAATATAAACTTCAGTTTCATTTATGCACTGCAGGTCCTTAATGTTCATGTGCTTCACAAAGTTACCCATCAAATACAGAGGTTTTGGCAGCGGGACTTCATGTGTGATTCAGGATATATAAAAATAAAAGAAGTGTGTGATGAAATGGCAGTGTAAAAGAGCTTTACACGGCCAATATATAAATGATTTTCTACAATAAAAGTCGTGACTTGTACAAAGTTTAGCGGAGCTACATAGTCCATTGTAAATGCTTCTGTTTACTCTGGAATTTGAATTCTGTGAATGGTTTGCAATGTATATGGAGATGGGTTTAGGATAATATTAAAAAAAGTTGGAATGATCATTTGAAACGTTGACGAGTTTGTCCTGATTAGTTTTCGATCCAGAATTGAAGTGGATGAAAATCTTCCATAAATAAACGAGACTATAGAAGTATGGTAAGAAAGCAGAGTCACAAATTAAAGTATACAGTGAAGCTTTGAAGGAAAAAAGTAAGAAGACAATTTAATTGTTTTATAGAATTAAAATTAATATTCCAAAATATTTTGAGGAACTATACGATCAAACTTTACTTTTTTTTTATTAAGGGAATTGCATAATGTATAGAAAAGTAAAAAATACAAATAAAAATCAGATATTAGGTTTACGGTATTCGATCATTTTGTTTCTTTCATTTGCAAAAGTTATCAAATAAAGAAATGTTGTTTACTCCGTCAACTCTGTTTGAATTTTCATCCAAAAAAAAAAACTGATTTAGTGGGATAATCCATCTCATTGAGGGAAAATCTTAGACAAAAAACCAATAAGAAACTTATAGTTAATTAAAATACTTTTAAAACTGCAAGCATATAAAATAAGAAAAACAATCCCTACCACCCCCCATTCATAAGGCACGTAGAACATAGGTTATTTTAGTTTGAGCTATGAGCCAAGATCATGTTAGGAGAATCCCAATAATCTTGTTTAAGTATTATACTTGCTTGTAATGTCAGATCTCGAAACTTTCTTTCTTAATAAAGCAAACATATGCATTGATGAACGCTAATTATTAGCAAGCTAACATGGATCATCAATGAGACCTCATTCATACTACCATTTTAGAGAAGAAATGATTTAATTATTAGAGGAAAATCAAGGGTAACACCTCCAATTATGCATTAATTATTATTTACATGAGATAACCAGATACAAATAAGAAGCCTGAAATTCATAAGACACAATACAAGGCTAAGTGTTCTAGCTTAGAAGGTTTCCATATCTCTTATATATGGTCATCAACTTAAAACAAACCAATACATCAAGTCCAAGTTGGTTCCTATAAAAAAATTGTGGCTTTGGAATATTCATAAACAATGGTATTTGTGTAGTAAGTAGCAAAACATGCTGCTGATAATATAAGATCGGCTGGTAACCTCTATACATCTATCGGTCAATCTAGAGAGAGAGAGAGAGCGAGAACACCAATATATTACAACATAAAAATCCAATGAAGTCTCAAAAAAGAATAATAAAAAAACTCGCATGTTACAACCTGGTGCTATGACAAAGATGTTACTCGGACGGAGTTATCAGCTGATCCCGTCAAGAAAATCGGCAGGGTCGGATGCCAATCTACGGCAGTAATAGGAGCACCGTGCGGTAGTGTTCTCCAACCACTTAGATGACCATGAACCTGAAACAAGAGAACCAGACATTGACAATTCCAGATAACTAGCAACAGAACCAGAAATGTTCAAGCCAATATATGGATAACTAAAGTATAGCCCCTTAAAAGCAGAGGGGTTAAATCACAGTTCACGAGGAAAAATCAACCTGATATATGGGTGCTCTGACTGAACTGGATGTTACCAAGAGTCTCCTCCCATTTGCGTCTAATGCCATCTCATGTCTGAAATATTTTGAACCGTTGAGGGGGTAACAGAACCTATGAAAGGTTAAAAGGTGTCATAATAAGAATTAATTCTTCAAACATATCTAAAACCTAGGAGGAATAGAGACAAAATTTCTCTAGAAAGCAAGCCAGAAAAAAAAATGCACACATCGTACCACTGTTATTCCACATATATCGCATCAAGTTGTAATTAATGCAACATAACAAGCTACTCCAGTATTTTCTGTTATTTTCATGTATAAGTATCCGTGCAAATATAATTAATTGAGCATTTCGCGAGGATTTTACTATCCGAGTTACAGTCCACAAATTACATTTCTTTCACCCTTTCTGATCGACAGCATTGATTAAATATGATTGTTTATCAAGCCACTACATCATATACCTCTGTCCTGCGCCATCTAAAGTTACGATGATGTTCTGGCCTGTTGAGATGCACAAAGGAATAGATGAAGCAAAAGGCTTCAGGAGAGGCGGTCAAGATACAGGAAGTCCTAGTCATTCATGAATTCCCATTACACACAGTCATGAACATCTAGATGCAAACACAACCAATGATGGCTAAAGAAAGGCAGTGCAGACAGAGGGTTAAATTGCCGAAGTTTGATGAGTGATCCAATTGGAGGGTTGGCTTGGGCAGAAAAGTAGTTCAAGATTCCAAACACAAGACCAGAGATGAAGGGACCTCTGGCCTTTGTGACAATGGATGTAGGGTCTGTGGTGCATTGGGTTTACCATTTCAGTATTTGAAAAAGAAATTACATGTGAAGAATTGGAAACTGACTGCAGAGTTGTTCTAGAGAAGTTAAAAAAGTGGAGTGGGGAACCTTAGCAACATGTTAGTGAAATCTGTCAAACGTGTTAGGTTAGAGATTATGTGCAGCTGTTCGTCATGTTACTTGTATAGTAAGAAATTCTAGAGGAACAAGCCTGAGGATATTTTATGAATGAGTAGAACAAAGTTAGCAGACGGAACATGCAAAGGCTAATGTTTCGCGCACTATTCATCATTGAAGATGAGTTGTTTAGATGAATTCAGGGTTCTGCAGTTATATGTAATGGTATAATAGTTATGTAGGTTGTGACAAGCTCTGTAGAGCGAATTTAAGATTTTGGATTTCTTTTTGAGGTATTTGAACAACGAAAATCTTTGATAGGGAGAAGCCCTATCTTGCTTGATGTTAAAACCGATATTATATCCATAATTTATTCATATTGAAGTGTGTTTACTTCTTGAGTCTAACATATGACAACCCTCAATTTCAAATCTAATTTCCCTACCTTCGACAAAGTACAACTAGCCACACACAAAAAAAAAAGGAAACATTTTAAATCTAATTGTAAGCTGCCAAACAGGAATATACCTACTACAGTCTCTCGACCACAGGATTTGACCTTGATTTTGCAAGCTCCATTCAAAAATCTGACAACAAAGAAGCAATCAATACCGATGTACAACCCTTTTCACGAGCTGGAATAACATTATTAATTATGCTTGCCTTCCCATCAGAGCCAAGGCTAAAAATGCTAGTCTCGTCTGGTCCAAACAGAATAGAACTGATGGAAGAATCATGTGCTGGCCAGCCAGTGATTTGTAGACCAGCAGACATGTCTTCGACTGGTTAAGGATGACGTTGTCAAACCATGGGGTCACTGATTCAACATTCAATATACAATCTATTATCCAAAAAAAAATTGCAGTATTCTATTTCACTGAATGACTGAGCCTATAATCCTAGAATAATTTAGTCTAAAATAGGGAACCTCTAGTAGAATGCATAAGAAATTCCAGCAAATTGACAACTCCAGAAAGAGAATATTTAAATAAATAGCATTGTTGAAATTAAGTGATGATAACTGAAGGTAATTATATAAAAGCAAAGGATTAAGTGAAATTAGAATCAAAACAGATAATAATGGAAATATAACAATCAAGTCAAATGATAATGGAAAAGTGTTAACAACCACAAAAAATTATTTTATAAAGGAATCACCAAGACCACAGCAAGGAAAGAATCAAATAAATAAAATTAAGGATACCAAACATGTGAATCATTCCATCAACTGCAGCAGCTGCCAAAATCTTTCCATTGTGATTAAAGCATAGAGAAGTAATTGCTGGGGGATCTTCTCCAAGAGGAAGGACTGTCTTTATGAAATCCAAAATTAAAAATAGCCATAAAACAACATACATAAAACATTTTATACAAAGAAGCCCGTACCATGGCTTTCCAAGTCTTCATGTTCCACACAGTTAGAGATGCGAAACCCAGGTTGTCAACATATTTGGAACCAGCACTACGCAGACAGCATAAACATCGCAATATTAACAAAAGGTGAAAAACAGAGAATGGATAGTGAAAGCAAAATAAAGGAAAGGATACCTTAACCAATGGTATTTAACCATAGATTCATCCTTATTTCCGAATTCAAAAGAGAAAAACATACATATATCATAAATAAACTAACATTTTTAAAACAGATTACCAAATTAAATTAATTTACTAGTATACGAAAGAATTCAATATTTAAAAATTTAACAATTACCCTCCAGATGCTGCTGCAGACACAAAAATAGGTTCCACAGGACTGCACTTTAGGTCCAATACACTGTAAAACATGGATAGAAGTGTTAAAAGGTAATTCATAGAAGGGAAAAATTACTTTAATACAATTTTATACTCATTTGACACATGTATCTTCACTCTCCCATTAATAAAAACAAAGTCAAATGAGTGTGGATGTATCAACCTACCGGTGTCCTTTACAAAAACCTGAAAAAATTATAAGGTTCAAATGCATTTGAAGTCCCCAAAAAATTATAACATTGTTTTTAGTTTCTTTAATTTTTCATCCCTGCCACATTCTGTCACTTGTTTATCCTAGTCATAACAGTAGAGACTTAAAAGGGAAACCTTTATATT